CCACCTCCCGCGGCTGCCGGTGTCTGAACGCCCCCCCCCCAGCTGCATCACCGGGCCCACGAGAGGGCAGGGGAAGCTGAGCTCCAGGTGGGCAGATGCTGGCATGAGGGGACCGTTGTGCTGCTGCCAGCTCTGCTGCATGGCCACAGTAGGTCACAAAAGCCCCACACTGCCTGTCTCTGTCACCAGAGCCAGTGCCAGCTTCCCCAGGGCAGTGCTTGCAAAGCTGGCCACAGGCCGCTGTGGCCTGTTGGAGCTGCAGCTCGGGGGCAGGTGGAGATGGGATCCTGCCTCGTGCCCAGAGCAGAGCAAGGCTGGCACCCAGCCCCCAGCAGACTGCATGCACACGATGTTCCCTGAGTGGCAGGGTCTGGGTCCATGCCAGATAAATGGGATGTGCCTGGAGCGATCATGTGCTCCCAGTGATTCCCATAAGCCAAACGCAGGCAGCAGGGCCCAGATGGGGAGCAGGGCTGTGTCCTCTTGGTAGGTCACAGCCTTGCAGCTAGCATGCGCTGCTGCTTCCTGCTGCTGCTGGTCACGGCCTGAGCCTAGAAGTCACCCGTTCCCCTTGCCCGAAACCCAGAGCAGCCTCCACCCCATCGCCCCTCCACAGCGACAGGACCAGCCAGCTCTGCCCTGGCTGCAACGCTTAGCGCTGCAGGATCCAAGCCCAGCTCCTCTTCGCCCACTGGCCCAGCTGGCTGAGCTGTCCCAGGAAAAGGAGGGGAGCTGCTCCTGTGATGGAGCCTGGCACGCAGACCCTGTGCTGGCTGGTAGCATCTGCCACGTGCTCCCGGGGCCTGGGAAGAGGGCAGGGCCCCGCTCTACTTGCCTGTTCCTGGCGCCAGGGTCCCTGGCAGAGCAAGCTGGCTGCAGAAAGCAGTGCCCATGCCCAGGCTTCCCTGCAGCGGGTCGGGGGAGCTGGCTCATGGCTCAGACCAGACCCATTCTGGCCAAGCAAGCTGGACCCCGAGATAGCTGGCAGGAGCTCGTACAAGGGAAACCGCTCAGGCTACCAGCCAGGTGGGGCGGTACTGATCTGGGCCACGGGTTTCCTGGGGGGGGCCTGGAGCCAGGCCAAGAGGAGAGTCCTGTCTGCTTCCAAAAAATGCCGCTTGGCTGCCTTCTGGGCCTGGGAGGAAGGACAAGCAAGGGGCTCTGGCTGGGTCCCCAGATGCCTGGGTTCAGGTGCCAGGCATGTCACACACTCGTGAGCTACGAGTCCCGATCTGGGAGCTGAGTGAGGAGGACGCCATCCCCCCCCGGTCTCCGGTCACTGGCACCGTGGGCACCTGCCCACCCCAGAGCACCGACTCGGCCCTGCCAGCCTGAGTCTGCCGACAGCCTGGACCCATAGTGCAGGGAGGGGAGACCGTGCTGTGCCTCTTTGTGGGGGGCTCACCCACAGCTCAACCCCTGCGGTGCCTGTGACCCCTACCACCTTAAAGATGGGGCCATGGGACTCCCCACATGGTACCAGGGTCCCCTTGTGCCGGCAGCGTGCAGCCGTGGATTCACACGGCTTGTGCTGCCCCTGCCTGACCACCCTGGATCTGCCAGGACACCCCCCACCCCCACCCCACGGTGGGTTATCTTGCCGCCCAGGGGGACTCACCTGGGCAAGAGCAGAGGTCAGTCTGGTCGCCACTTCCAGCATCCTGAAACCACAGCAGGATGCAGTAGGGTCCATGGGGAGCGTGAAGCAGCGGGGCCGTTGCTGGCAGCCGAGATGCCGCTGTTCCCCAGATCCTAGTCCCGGTCCGCCCCATCCACCATGGCCTGCTTGGCTTGAGCAGACAGAGCCCTGCCCACAGGCTTTCCCTCCCCTCTGGTCAAGGGTGGGAGAGGCCGAGCTCTCCCTGCTCCCTGGCTGCCAGCTCAGGATCAGGCCCACAAGAACGCAGCCAAAAAACGCCTGCTGTGGATGCCGGTCCTAGCCCAGACCCTGTGTTCAGCTGGCCGTGACCCATCGCCACGGCAAGGACTCAGGCTGGGTCCTGCACAAGCGGCCAGCTGTGTCCAGGATCGGGGCCAGCTCCCCCTGTGGAGACCTGGCCTGGCCCGGCCCCGAGAGCCCAGGAAAGCTGCACCCAAGCCAGCTAGGGTGTTGCTGCTCCCTGCCCCTCTTCTCCAGACCCCAGAGGCAGAGCTGGGACGTCCTTCCTCCATCAGAACGGGCGCCAGGCAGAGCTGCCGTTCACAAATGCTGTCACAGGCACACGAATGAGGTACGAGGTGCGGGCGCAGCTCCACTTCCTGCAGCACCCCTGGCTTTGGCAGCACAGAAGAAAGCAGCTCCTTGTGTCCCAGCAGCACAGACACCAACCCACCTTGCCCAGGGTGGCTTAGACGCCAACCCACGTAGCCCGGGGGCAGCTTCTCTGCATCCTGTGGCGGGGCCCACAAGTCATTCCTTTCAAACCTACAGAGCGGAAGCCGAGCCCGGGGCATCCAGCAAGGCTACAGCGACAGAAACAGCAGCCACTGGTACATGCGTTTGTCTCCTTTTATTACGAACAGTTCGGTCAAGAGTTGCACACGAGGGTGGAAATAAAAGAAAGAGAAAGAAACAAACTGGTTGGAGAATGATACTTGGGTGGCGACAAACACTGCGCACAACCGGCTGCCCGTGCCTGTCGCGCAGACACCAAAAGAAAACCGAACCCGACGGCAGGTCGTTAGCCCACTTTCTCTAGCTACAAGTCACTTCCCCCCCTGCCCTCCCGACCCGTGTAGGGGTGAACACATGGGACCAGGGAACACAAAGACACGGGGAATACAAAGAGCCGGCTCTGCTCTCCCTCCGGCCCAATCCAGTCCAAGTCACTGGGCGGCAGGAGGCGGTGGCGCGGGCCTGCCTCACGCAGGCTCCGGCAAGGCGCGGACATGACTAGGAAACAAGAGGACAGAAATCGAGCCCGTGGCATGTTCCTGCTCCCACCCCAACACGCACATGCCCACGCACCTCTCGCACGCACATGCACACGCTGCGAGGAAGGCCCAAATTCGAGCTATGTACACCAGGGCTCAACTGCTTCGTGCACCCACGTCTCCTCCTCCTGGCAGCTGGCGGCTTCGCCCTGTGGAAGCACAACGCAATCCCTCCGGCAGACGCCAGGCAAGGCGAGAGCCCGGTCTCCAGCCAGCGTCCATCTCCACAGGATCCGAGCCCACGCTGTGTCTGTGCAGAGGGGCCCATCCGCTGGCCCGTGGTCCTGCTCTTTCTTGCGCCGGGGTCCTGCATAGCTCGGCATCGGTTTCCAATTGCCGGCATCTTCCCTCCCCCACCCTCTTGCCGCATCCAGCACCGGAGAGGCCGGGGAAACCTGAGAAACGTTCGTGTGTCTCCTCCTGCTTTTATTGATTCTCGTTAAATTAAAAAACAAACGAACAAAAAAAAAACCCCAAGAAAGAAACGTCCCGGCCCCTGACAATTTCAAGTATCCCCCAAATAAAAGACAGAATTATAAATAATTATAACTTTACAATTTAATAATTGACACATATACTATAGTATTTACAGCATCATAAATGTTTTTTTTTTCTTTTGTTACTTTTAGTAAGCAATCCCTGAGAACAGTTACTTTCATTGTTTGTTGGGGGGGTTATTATTTTTTCCTTTCGTTTCAGTATCTTCACAAATGGAAAAAAAAAAAAGAGTTTGCCAGTCTCCGCGAGTTGCAAAGCCGCCACTCCGGCGCTGCCATTGGCTTTGCTCTTTTTCTTTATTTTTCGGCGCGTCACAGCCTCTGGGCGCCGCGTCCCGTAGGAAAGAGGTATCAGGTGTCCAGGTTCGCTTTTGGTATTCACGTATGATACGCTCGGGAGTGTAGGAGGCTGAACGACAAAACGAAGCAAAACAAAAAGGATCGCTCTTCCCATGCTTGTCTTTTGGTTTATGTGCCCTTGAATCCTCAGCGGATGTGAAATGGTCGAATGCAACGAGACTGGCCGGTGGGGGTTGGTGTCTTCGGCGTTGTCGTCGTCCCTCTTCTCGCTGTGCCCGTGCTCACCCGAAACGCTCCCTCACCAGCATCATCAGTTTTTTCTTGCCCTTGTAGATCTGCTTGAGATTGTCTATGAACTGGGCGAACTGGATGTGGCCGTCCTGGGCCAGGAGGAAGGTCTCCCGGGCTTTGCTGAGGAACTCGATGAACTCGCCGTAGTGCCGCGGGCTGATGTGGGTGAGGCGGGAATGCGTGGTGTTGATGTACGCGCTTATCGTGGCGTCCAGCAGCTGCCGCAGCGGCGCCTTGTCCGTGGACATGAGCTTCCCCGAGTTCCTGCGGCCGGGGATGCCAGCCAGGCCCGGCGCCGTCATGGTGCAGCGGCGGAGGATGTCCGACAGCACCGTGGCGCAGTGGACGCTCTTCACCACCAGCGGGATGATGGCGGCCAGCTCGTTCTTGCCCAGGGAGTGGCTCAGGGCGCAGGCCCACAGCACGTCGTTGATGGCCGGGTGCGTGTCCTGGTTGTAGGCCAGGTTGAGGTGGGTCATGGCCAGCGAGGCCAGCTTGAAGGCCCTCAGAGGGTAGCCCCGGTGCTCCATGTAGCGGGCAATGGTGAAGAGCTGGGAGTAGGTCATGCCGGTGGAGGCGGCATCGATGACAATCTGGTAGGCCGTCTCGAAGGCGATGTGGTCCTTCTCGCAGAGCGTCAGGGCCGACAGGGCACAGTTCTGTGGGTCCTTCATGGCGCACTGCAGCGCCAAGGTCCGGGCACAGCTGGCCAGCTCCTCCCGCTGTGGGTAGTCCAGGCTGAGCCGCAGGATGGTGTTGTGGGACATCACCGTCGCTGCCACGATGCTCGTGGCCTCGGTGGGCGTGAAGAGTGTGTACCAGCTCTGCAGGATGCTCACCAGTGCCCGCACGCCTGCAAGACAGGGACATGCAGTGCTCAGCAAAAGGGCTGGGGCGGGAACAACCTGGCCAGGGTCTCTGAGGCGTGAGGTGGGATCTAAATTGCCAATGTGAGGAGCTGGCAATCCCATCTCCCCTAGCCCATGAAGGAAGAGCGAGACAAGGACACTCAGACCCACCAAATCCAAGGCTAGGAGGGGCCCAGTATCACCTTCCAGGGCACCCCACGCCCTCCCCTGCCCAGGCTGGAGGATTTATCCCTAGAGCTTGAGCGAAGCACCTCTCTTGGAGGCTGATGCATTGGATGCTGCCCTCAGTGAACCCCCCACCTGCCCACTTCCCACCCTCTGCGATGGGACATCGCTGTGCTCCGGCCAAGGTCACAGCACGGCAGGGCCCAGGATTCAAGGCAGGGACGTGCTGCCCTCCCGCAGCCCAGCGGAGACCAGCAGTACCCACCCACTTCTGTCGCGCAGGTGACCAGCCACCTCACCATCTCCCTCCGGCGCCAGTTGAGGGTGGACAGCGTCATGCGCATGACCTGGAGCATGAAACACACGGCGTCACCCTTCGCCTCGGGGCTCTCGGTTTTGCTCTTCACCCCACCCACCCTTGCCCTCGCCCCTGCTTAGAGGTGAGTGAAGCCACCCCGAGAGGCGGTGGGACTCCTCAAGCACCTGGATGCTAACTCAGAAACTGGCCCGGTCCATCTGAGAGCTCGCCGAGCTCCAGGAATGGACTTGTGACCAGCTTGGGAACAGCTCAGGGTGCAAAGGTCACAGATCCCCAGTCCAACGCTGCAGTTACAACCCACTAACATCACCAACTCCCTTGGGTCTCCCCAAAGCAACCCCCCATGAATGGGGCTGCTAAAGCCCCTTGCTTTTTCCCTCCAGGGATGCCCCTTGCCTCTCTCCTTGCCACCTGCTGCAACCCCACGCCCACTACCTGCAACCCCAGCTCCAGCGCCACGTTGAGCAGCGTCGTGTCGGAGCTGTTGTCGGCCGGCGTGGCGATCTTAAATGCGTCCTGGGCCAGCTTGAAGATGAGGGAGGAGGAGTGGATGTTCTTCTGGATGGCTTCCAGCACCGTACGTAACCTCAGCATGTCTCCTGTGGAGAGGCCAGAGCTCAGTTCGTTGCTCGCGCCCTCTGGTCTGACCCCAGGCTCATGCGTGGCCTGTGCCTTTGCAGTTATGCGGGATGAATCAGAAAAGTCCCTCCTGACCTTCCCCTTGGCCTTCACACGGGACGTCCCCGCGGGCTGTGACCGCTCCTCGCCTGGCACAGCAGTCTACCGGGCGCACTCCCCCATCACTCACACCCTGAGGTCTCTACTCAACCCATCAAGGGTCAACGCAGCCAAGACCCCGGGGCTTCATCTGGCTTTATTGAACCTACGATTCCTACTAGACTGAGCAGGCACCTGAGCTGGGTTCCTGGCACCTCACAGCCTCTCCCAAAGGCAAAACAGCTTCCTTACCGCGTTTGCCCAGTGAGTAAAAGGCCACGCTGGGGTTTGCACCCAGAAGAGACGGCTCAGCTATATCCTCTGGGCATTTCCATCGGGTGGGCAGGACCCTCCAGAGGTCACAGCCCCTGTCCCCGAAGGCATTGTCCATGTCCTGCTCCTGTTCTTGGTTCAAGCGTACTCAAGAGATCCCACCGTGCCTCACGCTGCTGAGGAAAGCAAAACCCTTCCCCAGCCCACGCTGATCACCACAGGGTACGATTCCTTCCTGACCCCAAATGCGGAGGGGCCGGACGCTCCAGAGGTCGCAGTCAGGTGGAGACGAAGCGGACAGATGAGAGCTCAGCAAGGCTCCGTCGCCAGGATCCTGCCCGGGGAGGTGTCCAGCTCTGCCCACCCAAGAGCTCTGCCTGCAGCACGTGGTCCAATGCCTTCCCAGGCTGTTGTGGCCGCACAGCCCGTGGTGCACTGGCCATTCCCCAGCTGGCTGGGCCCTCGGGAGGGCATGGCCATCCCAGCCAGCAGCTCCAGGCAGGAATGGCCCCGTCTGACCCAGTCTGGAGAGCATCCCTGAGATGCTGTGATGCTGCTGGCACGCGCCATCGCTCCTGTTTTGGCAGCTGACAGCTTGGCCACCCCCATCTCTCGCACCCCTGCTTGGGGCCACCCCGGGGCCCCTGAGAGGCTGCAGAGGGCTCCTGGAGGGCTTCAGGTCCAGCCAAGGTCATTGGAAAGAGACACACATACGCTCTCTTGCCAGGGGATCACACTCACTCGCGCTCTCTTCCAGGGGATCTCATGTGCACATGCGTGCACACGCTCTCTCCCCCTCTCCCCTCCCACCAGGGAATCACGCACATATGAATACAATTACACACACTCTCTCTTCCAGGGGATCACACACACACACATGCACACACTCTCTCTTTTGCAAGGGATCACACACACTCTCTCTTCCAGGGGATTTCACACATGCACGCTCTTTCTTCCAGGGGATCACACACACATGCACACTCTCCTCCCATCCCCCTGGGAATTGCACACACGAACACACTCCCTCACAAATGCATGCACACACTCCCTCTCCCAGGAGATCACACACACACACACACGCACACACACACTCTTTCTCTTCCAATGTCACACATGCACTCACTGTCTCTCATGGGATCTCACACATGCACACGCATGCACACACTCTCTCCCCCTGTCCCCTCCCACCAGGGAATCACACACATATGAACACAATTACACACACTCTCTTCCAGGGGATCACAGACACACACTCTCCCCTTGGGGAATCGAACATATATGAACACAATTTTACACACACTCTCTCTCTTCCAGGGGATCTCATGGACACACTCTCCCCCTCTACCCCCAGGGAATCACACACACATGAACACAATCACACTCTCTCTCTCTCTTCCAGAGGAATCCCCTGCCACCCCCACTTCCTTCAAAGGCACGACGCTGGCAAACCCACTGCGGGTCCAGACCCCCGTGCCCTGCACTCAGGACCCGTCCCGGCTGTGGGTGGGGGGAGAGGGGCACCCGCCTCACACCCACCTTTGGCGGCGGTGAGCATGGTGGAGGCCAGCTCGCACTGCTGCGACTCCAGGTGTCCCAGGGTGAACCAGCGCGGGTACCGGCTGGGCACCACTGAGACCAGGTGGTGAGGGTGGGAGACGTCTCCAGACGGGGCGGTCGTCTCCAGCACAGGCAGCCTGACAGGGGGCAGATGGATATATCAGACATCATCAGCTCCCAACTAGCCCTGGCTGGCTCCAGCCAGCGCTGGGCACGAATGGGTTCACCAAGCTCTGGGACAGCCATGAGCTGCTTTCCACCCGACCATGCCGGTGTGCTCGTGCCTGGCGCTCGGCAGTGCTATTCCCACTCAGGGTAGCAAGGAAGCAGCTCTCACCTCCCTCTCCCACCCTCTGGCTTGGGGCAACAATGATCCCATCATGTTGGCAGTTTGGACATGCCCCATTCAACCCGGCCCTGGCTGTACCCCTGGGTGTGGGGAGGCCTGAGACAGCACATGGCGGCTCTCACAGGCCTTGCTACACCCTGGGGGCAATCCGCGCCCACGCACCTCATGGCCCGCAGTGCCAGCTTGTAGGCCAGGTCGGCGTCATGCGGCAGCAGGGCGGAGAACAGGTACTTGGCGAAGGTGTGCATGGGGACGCTCTCGCGGTGGATCACCTCCCCCAGGCCGCTGAAGGGCCCCCCTGAGCGAAACCAAAGGCTCGTCAGCACCCACCCTGGCCTCCCGATACCCGCTGCTCCCTTGGCTTCTGGTGCCCTTGGGGACTCGTCCCAGCTGTTGGCACTAGCCCACCCCAGCCCTTGGAGGTGCCCGGTCCTGGTCCCCTGCGGCACCTTCGAGGGGTCTCTATGACCGTGGCCGTCTGAGCCTGACGGCATCTGTGGGACCGCGAGCAGTGGCTGGACATGGCCAGGCTGCCCCTCGCCCACCCGCCCGCAGCACCCACCTTCCAGCAGCAGGATGCATTGCTTGCGCAGGGTCTGCACCAGCGCGGCATCCAGCTCCAGCTCCTGCAGACGGGTGATGATCTGCTCCTCGTTGCGGCACACCTTGTCCTGCGCGTACAGCCCCTCGGGCATCACCCGCTGCTGCCCCATCCCCACCAGCGCCACCTCCAGCGCCAGGGCCAGGTATGACTCGCCGCTGTCCGGGCTGCCTGTTGCCACTGGCACATGCTGGTACACGGGGGGCTTGGCGTCGCTGGCATCTGGAGGAGGTGGCAGTCACGGATGGGATGGATTAGGGGGGCAGGAGTGGACCCAGACAGCCCAGCACCGCTGCCTGCCTGGGGGTCTACAGGAGACATGGGGGCACAGGACCCACCGCTGTGCTTGGGGGTAACACTCCAGGTAGCTGGAAAGCCAGGGGCCAAGAACGAGACCTAGAGCTGGATGGGGTTTCTAAGGAAGCATCGGGGAATAAAAAGCACCGGGTGGAGGGCCAGGCCGTCAGGAGCCCTCGAGGGTTCACCGGTGGGTGTAGCCAGTACCTGAAATCTCCAGGCAGCTTTCCTCTTCTAGCCGACAGGCCTCGGTCAAGGTGAGAAACAAGCAGCCGACGGGGTTGAGTGGGTGGCCCACCCAGCCCTCCAGGTTGGTGATGGTCGTGGCTCCGCGTTGCAGCAGCTCTGGGAGGGGGATGTGGAGAGCACGAGATGCAAGGCCAGGTCCATGCCCAGGACCGTGCACCCCGGGGACGGCTGCACCCGCTGCCCCAGCCCTGCCTGCTCTGCCCGCATTCAGCCACGATGCGCTTTTTGCTGGTCACTGTGTGGAGCCGAGAAGGAATTCCCCCCCGACCCCCTTCCTGCTGCTCCACATGTCAGGGGGTTTTAAGTCTCCAGCTGCAACCTGGGATGGGGATGGGGACTGGACTGGGACTAATCAGCAGGGTCGTGGCTGGAGGGTCTTGCCCCTGCTCTCGGGCTCAGCCCGATGCTGCACTGGGGCAGGAAGGGATTTCCCCCCTGCTCAGACTGGTCCAAACTGGGGGGTTTTGCCTTCCTCTGCAGCAGGGGCATGGCCTCAGCCTAGGGTCTCTTTAACGTATCTTGACAACCTTTAATAGAAGCAGGACATTGGCGGCGCGGTCCCCCTGCTTTCCTGGGGACAGGGGTTGCATCAGGGTGACTGTGTTGTGCCGCTCTGAGGTCGGACGTGGGGTTTGTCTGGGCCGGTTTGGACGCGGCTGATCCTGCTTGGACTCAACATGACCTCCAGCCCGACTTCTCCAACAGGGACCCACTGGGTCACGCCAAGCGGTTCGTCTTCTGCGCCGGCCGAAAGCAGCCCCTACCTTTCTTCTGATGCTTATAGATCTCCAGCTGCCGCTGCTGCTGCAACCTCAGCGTGTTGATGATGGCCACGGTGAGCCGGAGCGCTTCCTTGGGGTACCCGTGGGAGCGCAGGGCGTCCACCCGGGCGCACGCGGTCGGGACGTGCTCTGCAAAGCAAGGTCAAGCAGGCCATGTTGGAGCCGGGCGGGCGGGCAATGGCGCCGTGTCCCGTTTGGGGCGGGGAGATGGCACCTGATGCCAGCTGGCTCTGCGTCACCTGCAGCTTTCATTGCCCTGGAAAAGCCTCTAAATAAGAGGAACCAGGGGCCTGTTGCATTGCGTCTGCTAAACAGTCAGGTCTGGGCTGAAGTCACAACCTCCCTGGAGAGGATCGGGTGTGACGTCTTGTGTCCGGGTTGACAGCACGGACACTGCGTTTGTCTGGGTGGATTTGCACAGGGCTGACTGGATATGACCCCTGCCAGCCCCGCGGCTCCGTGACTCCGGGTCCCTGCATTTGAGGTGACGGCAGAGAGCCCGGCAAGGAGATGGACGCAAGGCCACCCAAATGCCCCAGACGCCGGCGGGGGTTACCTAGCCAGAGGGGCTGTCCTTGGGAATTGAAGAGCAGGCTCTCCCCCTCCCTCTGGTAGGAAGGGGACACGTAGAAGTCACTGCTGATGATCCGCTGCAAGTGGCTGTCCTGCCAGTGCAGGTCGCAGCCCTCGATGGCCCGAGTGAAGACTGTCCGCCGCGGCCTGGCCAGGGAGTCTGCAAAGCAAAGGACACGCGGCATCATGTGGCTGCTGGCAAGATCCAGCCCCTGGGCCTGGAGCACACAAACCCTCCGTCTCCCTAACAGGTACCTCTCCTTCCCTGTCTGATGCCCTCCACCTGCCCAGCTACTCTACCCGTGCCTGTAGCTGCTTCTCTGGACACTGCCCGAGGCTCCCACCAGCGTGCTGTGCTGTGAGCAGAGGATGCACAGACAAAGCCGTGTTTTGCAGCCTGTCCTTCCCTCTGCTCCTCCCATGCTCCCAAGAGGGGCCGCAGGGGTGGTCCCCGGTATGAGACCCTGTAAGAGCAGCCCCACGGTGCCCGTACCCCCAAGGTATAGACCAGGGGGCAAGACGTGGAAAGAGCTGGACATGGCAGGGTGAGATCCTGCCCCAGCCGCCCTTACATGGCACCAGCTACATCGCAGATCCTCAAGGCCCCTTGCACATCCCTTGTGAATTTAGATCTGAAGTGGAACTGGGCTGATCGAGTCTGCAGAAGAGAAGACCGAGGGGGACTGAACAGCAGCCTTCACCTCCCTGCAGGGGGGCTGCAAAGAGGATGGAGCTGGACTGGTCTTGGTGGGGGCAGATGACAGGACAAGGAGCAATGGGGTCAAGCTGCAGCAAGGGAAGTTGAGGTTGGATACTTAGAAAAACTCTCTCACTAGGAGGGTGGTGAAGCACTGGGACAGATGTGGTGGCATCTCCATCCTGGGAGGTGTTGAAGACCCAGGTGGACAAAGCCTTGGCTGGGATGATATAGTTGGGGCTGGTCCTGCTTGGAGCAGAGGTTGGACTAGATGTGACCTCCTGAGCTTCCCTTCCAGCCTGAATTTTCTGATTTTATGATCTCAGCTCAGCGATTTCCAGCCGAGGTGCTGTGAAATTCTGCCAAGTTACCGAGTTGTTTCTTACTGGTATGTCTCAGCACCGGGACAATTCCCTCTCGCAGGGGAGTGGAACCGCTTATAGGTTTTGCAAAAAAAAAAATAAAAAAATCCGTATTTATACAGGCACCTTTTCAGGAGCAAGAGCAAAGCATGCCACTGAGCTTCTCTTGCCGGATTAGGCATGGCCCACGTCTCAGGAGTCTGGAAAACCCTGAGCCGGGGGTTCCTGGACTCCCACTGAGCACCACTTCCACCTTCAGGTGTGTGCGCCGGCGCGGATGGGCCCAGGGAGCACTGGTCATGCAGTGAGTGCCCAGACACCAGGAGATGCCGCTGCTTGCAGCTGACCATGGGGCAGAGCTGGGTCCACTTGGCTTTGCATGGAGCTGGTATTGATGATGAGACGAGGTAGGAGATGTGGAGAGTGCACAGGGGATCTGGGCTGAGCTGCGGCGGGCTGCCAAGACCGATACCCCTGCGGGGTCCCTGCAGGCTTGGGGTGGGGGGGGAGGCTGAGAGCACTAATTACACCCAGAAGATGCCTCCCTCCTAACCCGGCTGGGCTATTTTTCACCCCCTCTTTCCACATTGGCTGCATTAAATACACGGAAGACCAATTATAGTGCAGCAGATGGAGGCGCTGCTAGAGCAGTAGGTTTCAATTAAGGCTCATCTCGGGTGAAGTGGGCGCAGGGGGATGGAAGATGGTGTTTGAAACCAAAGGGATGAAGCGCTTTGTCGGGGTTGGAGAGGATGGTTCGGTGCTGGGCTGGCCGAGGGGGACTCTGCACTGAGCGGGGTCGAACGGGCCAAACCCCCAAAATGAACAGAGCAGCTGCTAGAATCGTCCCGGATCGGGCAGAAGAGGCAGCTCCAAGGACCACCCACGTTTTACAAGCTCGGTGCCAGGCTCATGTCCCCGTCGGCACCTAACGTGCAGGCACGACAGTGCCCAGAGCCCAGCGCAGGCTCGTGCGGCTCTAGCCCTTGCCCCAACCTTTGTCCAGGGGGCAGCTCCCGTCATCAGTGGCAAAACCTCTGTTGACATGAACCCCTCCTTGGAGGTGTTTAAGACCCGGGTAGACAAAACCTTGTCTGGGATGATGTAGCTGGGGCTGGTCCTGCTCAGAGCAGGGGGCTAGACTGGATGTGACCCCCCTGGCTCCCAGCCCACCTGAATTTTCTACGAATGGAGCAGCCCTGAGCCCATGGTAAGGGTGTCCATCACCCCACCACCATCACCAGCGCTTTAACGCTCATATAATTCCCTTTCCCATCTGGTTCCAGCTTCGCTGTCAGCCTGGGCTTTGCTTCACTGGTGCTCCCTGGCCAAGGGGTCGACACAAGCCAAACACCCCGACAGCCCGATCCGTCGTCATGGTGGGAAAAAGAAGAGCAAGGCTTTTTAAAAGGGAATGGACGGCCCCCAGTCTGAGAGGGAGGAAGGCGGGTTTGGCAGCAAGGTATTGGCCTTGACGGGGTCATTGCAAAGGGAACCCATCAGGCGCTTTCCAGCTGGAGATGGGTACAGTAACCCCTTCCCCACCCCCCAGACTCCTGGAGGGCTTGTGCCTGGACTCGAGCACCGAGGCCGGGTCCTCCAGGCGCCGCTCACCTTGGCTGTGCCCGGCGCTCTGGGTCAGCGCGTGGGTGATGTTGGGCAGCTCATTGCCGTAGTTGCCATCCTCCAAGGGGCACACGTCCATGTCGCTCCATTTGCGCAGCTGCCGGAGCCAGCAGGATTTCTCCTCCAGCTTGCAGTGGGGGTTCAGCACCACGCACACCCACAGAGCCCCTGCGGAGAAGGAGAGACCACACATGCATGCACAAGCACATGTACACACGCACACACACACACACGCACTACTCAGCATTATCCAGGCTCGGGGTTTTTCACACCACCATCCTTCTTCCTGCCAGGAGAGCTGGGGGTGGGGGGTGGTTTTCACAGGCTGGCTGCAGACAACCTGCCTCCAGCCCAGGAGGGGGATTTAGCAGCTTCTGTTTCAAAAGGAAAATAAAGCCCGGCTCCGTAAGGAAGCTAAATGATCATCTCTGGAGGTGGTGGGGGAAGGCCCCCCCACCCCTGCCCCTGTCTGCCGTGTGGATTGGCGAGCACTCCTGTCTGCCAGGATGCCTCTCTCCTTTGAACTGCACTTCAAAGTCTGCTTCAAAACACCCTGGCAAAGCTGCAGCATCTCCAAAGACCAACCTGACCGTGCTCCCAGCATGGCATTTTAATGGCTGGGGATGGGGCTGGGTTGGGCCAGTGCTCCTGCTGACACCGACCCCGCAGGGGCCTGGCTGGAGGGGCTTGCCCCCGCGCTCGGCTCAGGCCGACGCTGCACTGGGGCAGGAAGGGATTTCCCCCCTGCTCAGACTGGTGTGCACTGGGGGGTTTTGCCTTCCTCCACAGCGGGGGCCCGGCCTCGGCCCAAGGGCTCTGCACGAACCTTTGCAGCAGCGAGATGTTGGCAGCCGGGGCCCCCCTGCTTTCCCGGAGGCAGGGATGGGGGTGATGCCGGGGGCTATGTTGGGGTGACTGTGTCATGTTGCTCCAAGCTCGGACACGGGGTTTGTGTGGGCTGGTTTGGACGGGGCTGATCCTGCCTCAGGCAGCCCCGCGGCTCTGGGACTCTATGATTAACCCCACTTTTCCCCTAGACCCACAGGAGGAAAACCGGAGCTCTGCCTTAGCATCCCGCAGGTGAAGCCCGACAGGGCACATGCCTGCCCCATGCCACGAAAATCAGCCACTTGCTCCAAGCAACAAATTGGACCCATGAGACCAAAGTGTAGCCTGCATCTCCCTGTGCCTGGGGGCATTACACCCACAGGCCGGAGCTGCAGCCTCATGCCTTCCCCCGCTCATGTTATGACCGGGGTTTAAGCAAGGGAGGACCGGGGGACCCCCAGGGACGGTCTCAGCCTCCAGCCAGCCGCCGTCCGCTTCGTCTGGGACCGCATCCCAAGCGTCTTGCCTTAACTCGTCCCCCTGGGATGATTAACAAGCCACTCACAGTTCAATAACCAGAGCAGCGACTGCCCCAGGGGGACGGACGTGAGCTGGGGAGAGAAGCTGCTCGTGGGGAAGCCGAAACCAGGCGGCTGGCTTCACCCCAGCAGCCAAACCCCTGGGGCCAAGAGGCTGCAGGGCGGCACATTCAGCAGCGTTCGGACTGGGTTTCTGCTGTGCAGGAGGCTCTCTGGTCCCCTGCGCCCACTGGAGACTGTTGCAAGCTTTTACCATCTCTTTAAAGCCCCTACAACCCACCGAGACGCATGAGGCTGGGATACTTTGGAGGAAAGGAGACCCTCCCTCCCGCACAGAGCAGGACAGGATGCGGCCGCTGCACCTATTTATTGCAGAGAAAAAGCTGGGTGCATGCTATAGCTGAATAAGGGCTCGCCCAAGGGGTCAAACCAGCCGGGCACTGGGACTAACTGTCTAAGGAAATGGGGACACTCCTTCCCTGGATGTTTCCAAGCCGCAGGAACGGGTCAGGACGGGGCATCCAGCACTTCCGTGGAGGTGGCAAGACGACCCAGCCCCGCGACTCTCTGGCTCTCTATGCAGAGGTGGCGGGGCGTGCACCGAAGCCAAGCTAGCGAGCACCGGGAATGCCGGAGACGGCAGGGTCGGGGTGGGAGGCGCAGGCTGGAGCTGCTGCCCTGCCCAGTTTGCACACCCAGCGCCTCCAGTCCGGCCGGCCGTGCCTGCCAACCCCGGCAGCATTTCCAGTTCAGGAACGCCCCCACAGCTGCCTGCAGCTGAGGCCAGGCTGTCACCTCCCCGAGTGCAAACAAGCCTGGTATGACTCCAGACCCGGGTGTGCACGGTGCTGTATGACAGCCGCTTGGTGCCACGCTCTGTTTTGCTACCAGAGGGGCTGAGGGCATGCCATGCTCCCTCGCCGGCGAAGGAAGTACGTGGCATTTCTGAGCAGCACCAGGTCCGTGCACTTGAATCCAGACTTCTGGTTTGTGCCACGAGGCCTGAGCCTGCGGGTGTTGGGAGGAATAAATGGCTCATGGGGCCTGGATCCATAATATTTTCTAAACTACCCCAGAGGCCGTGCAAGACCATTTCTACCCAGCCTCCCTCCAAGACCGTGGCCTTCGGAAACCCTCCTGTAGCCGCCCAGGGACAGGATGGGGCTGGGTGAAGAGGACTCTTTTATTTCTCAGTCCACTGAGCGATATGAATCAAATGCAAGTTTTATCTGGGATGAAAGTTTTATCTGTGAAATGGGGCTGCCCCCCAGTGCAACTCCCTAGTTTATGGAGCATGTTGAGGCTCGAATAAGCAAAAGCTTGCTTGCAACCACAATGATCTTGGTGGGGCAGAGGGAAAGAGAGCCTTAGGGTTTCCCCCACCCTCTCCTGCGAGAGGACGCCCATTGATGCTGGACAGCCCCATTTGTGAGCCATCAAAAGAAATTCTCCCCCCGCCCCGCGGGTCTAATCGGCTGAAATTCCCAACTGTAAACAAATGGTGGAGATAAACAGCCCGGCTCCAGGCAGATTGAGGTCAGGCCGCACTTCAGCTGCTTTTCATCTGGGTTTTTTCTAATTAGGACTTAATCTGAAATACTAATGCACAGGGGCAGATACCCCCACGGGTGCCCAGCTCACTTCCAAAGGCGGCAGCGGTTCTTTCCTTTGGCTCCAAGACCCATAGCATAAGAGATGCTCAGTTGATGGGACAGAGACCAATGACCCATGCCCTCTTCTTAAAGCAGAAAATCCAGCTAAATCCTTTCTGTTGCACTCCGCGCAAATGCATGGTCTGATCTGGTCCCAGACATGGCTGGGATGCAGCATTTGTACAAATCATTGCTGACTGAAAAAGGTCCCCAAAAAGGGGCCCGTTTCCTCCTTCCTAGTGCAGAGCCAGGAAAAGGGCTGGTTGGATCGGACAGACAAGGCCTTATGCCGAAGGTGCGTCAGTCGAATTGCTAACTGGGGAAAGTCCAAATTGCACCAAGCAAATACTTCTGCTAGCGGCTGCCCAGATCAGTGTTTGCTGGCTGGTTGTGTCACGCTAGAAATCTCCCAACCCCTATTCCTAAATCTTCCTTCACCTTCACATTGTGGCAGTGAGTCCCACAGGTTACTACAAGAATGAAGGAAGTGGAAGGGGCCTCACCAAGGTCCCATCTATCCCAGCCCCCTGCTCCAGGCAGGATCTAACCCAGCCCAGACATGCATCGGTCCAACCTGCTCTTGAAAACTTCCAGGGATGGAGAATCCACAGCTCCTCTAGGTGTCGTTTCCAGTGAGGAAACCTGCTTTCAATGCGGTGTATCAGGTTGCCTGAGCAATGTCACCAAGCATCCCCTTGTTCTTGTTCTTGTACCTGGGGATGTAGTGGGAGGCTGCACCACATTTACAAAAGCGCAAAAGCCCCCACGGCTCACCAAAAGCATCCGGGAATGTCTCCTGGCTAAAAGGGAGGTGCACACCCAATGGCAGGGGGGGCCATCCCCAGGGAGGACTACACTGCGGTTCCTCGGGGCTGCAGCGGGGGGTCAGGAAGGCCAAGGCAGAGATGGGACTGGGACGAGCGACCCGGATCAAGGACAACAAGAAGTCCTTTTTTAAATACATAGGGGACAAAAAGAAGGTACCAGGTAATGTGGGGCCCCTGCAAGACACGCTAGGAAATTTGGTCGTCACACCAGACAGCAAAGCCAACATATTTAATGATTTCTTTGCCTCCATTTTCCTGAGCAGGGGCCAAAACAGCCACCCCCCTCTGGGCCCCAGGGGAGGCGCACCCAGGCCCAGGGTCAGTGAGGAACTAGTCAGGGAACATCTGGAGGGACTGGACGTACTTAAATCAGCTGGTCTGGACGATCTCCACCCCCGAGTGCTGAGGGAATTGGCTGCGGTCATTGCAGGACCCCTGGCACAGCTGTACGAGCACTCGTGGGGCTCTGGTGTGGGGCCAGAGGACGGGAAGAGGCCAACGTGGTTCCCATCTTCAAAAAGGGAAGGAAGGAGGACCCAGGAACTATAGGCCAGTTAGTCTTATCTCAGTCCTGGGGAAGCTTTTTGAGAGAGTCATCCTGGCACATGTCCTCGAGGGGCCAGTGGGGGAGATTATGCTTAGGGGCAACCAACACAGGTTCATTCAAGGCAGGTCCTGTCAGACCAACCTGGTGGCCTTCTACGATCAGGTCACCAAATCTTTAGACGCAGGGGTAGCAGTGGACATCATCTTCCTGGACTTTCGGAAGGCCTTCGACACTGTCTCTCACCCTGTTCTCATTAAGAAACTGGGGGGCTGTGGCGTAGACACCCACACAGTCAGATGTGTCGCCAACTGGCTGGAGGGCCACACCCAGAGAGTGGTGGTGAACGGGTCATGTTCAATCTGGAAGGACATGGGCAGTGGGGTCCCCCAGGGCTCGGTCCTCAGGCCCGCACTGTTCAACATCTTAATCAGCAACTTGGACGAGGGGGTAAAAAGCGCCTGTTCACATTTGCTGATGACACTAGGATGTGGGGGGATGTGGGCATGCTAGAAGGGAGGAATAGGCT